CCTCAAGCAAACACTCAATTTAACCCAAAGGATTATACTCACCATCCAAGACTAGGGCCTTGAGAAACTTGGCATATATAAGGAGTGGTATATGCATTATTGAGTGCAGTGCACAGCTAGCAGCCCAGGCCGCCGGCCCTTTTAGATGCAGCAAGAATTCAACGAAGAGACATAGTTCAATGTTTTCCCAGGTTGTCTTCTCTAACATTATTTGGGTTTATCCCTAACCATGACCTCAGCGAGTCCAACAGCCTGTGAGTCACATCCTCAGTCAGAGCAAGATAATATCTCCATTATATAAAATTGACTGTAACGTAGCTGCTTAACTGCAGCAATGTATTACTCAAAACGGTAACCAAAATGATTACTAAGCTGCATGTGGCTAACAGAGAAAACAGATAAGCTCCAGTAAATTAACCAAATTAGCTAAGAAGAAAAAGAGCCTGTGCAATGTATGAAAAACTTACAAATACAGTGAAAAAGAGCCTGGGCAATGTATGAAAAACTTACAAATACAGTAGATTCCAGGGAAATAGCCATGCTGGAGCAAAAACAATAAAGGCTCTTGTGGAACCTTAAGGACTAACAAGTTTTATTTGTTATATTTCCTGGTATGTAGTGCATTCCACCAAATGCAGTAAAGAATGATTCCCAAACCAGGTGCCCTCCAATATTCTGGATACAAGTCCCATCTTTTCTACCCTGCATACCTGTATTATGATGTAAGATGCACTCCAGTTTTGGAAAAGTTGCTACAGAAAGACTCCATATCTACATACTCTCCTTGCCATCTGTTGCCACCAAGAAGGAGAGGAGGAGACAGCATCACAATTTGAAACAAGACAAATCTCAGGAACCTAAGCTATGGTTGGATGAGGAGTGGACAACCTTCAGAGGTCTAAGGCTAACAAATATATACTCTGGAACTTGAGGGCTACATCTGCTCCTACACCTTGCCCATCTGAAATTTGTTATTTAAAAAGCTTTGTAAGTCAGAAAGTTCACACATTGTAACCTAATGGCCAAGCTACTTTTACAAATTTGAGGAGGCAGTAGTGTTGTGGCGACCAAAAGAGAGCAAAATTGCTTCCCACACCCCAGATGCCACAAGCAACTTTCTGAAACAAAAAAATTAATCTAAAAAGGGGGGAGTGCACAGGGCCTTGGGTGCTGTATTGGGCCAAAAGGCCATGCTTTGTCCCCCTAGGCTTAGCTAAGGAATAGGAAATGCATAGCCAACTAACTTCTAAAGTACGGACATGATGAGTAACTCGGAATGAAGAATGACAAACGTGATGATGGCCAAGAGCCTTAAGTAGTGTTCTTTAAAATGGGATAGAAACAAATGAATCCAATGGTTATCCACTAGCCATTATGCATCATGACATACCCTGTTTCCCCAAAATTAAGACCTAACCTGAAAATAAGCCCTAGTATGATTTTTCAGGATGCTCGTAATATAAGCCCTACCCCAAAAATAAGCCCCAGTTAAGCGAAACCCCGCCCTCCACCATTATGCAGCAACCAGAAGATGGTATGACTGTATTAACATAAATGTAGATTGTTGTACTTGGAAAAAAATTAAACATCCCCTGAAAATAAGCCCTAATGTGTTTTGGGGAGCAAAAATTAATGTAAGACCCTGTATTATTTTCGGGGAAACACGGTACATGTTGCCAGCATCAGCTTCTATAAACCAGATTACAGAAGCTAGCCTGCATAGAGCTAAATAATCTTTCAGGTCCCTAGATAACAACAAAGTCTCCGGTTTCCATGACACTAAGATGCTAGTATTATCCGAATCTTTGGCTGTGGGGTTCTTCAGCTTCAATGTTGCAAGTTTTAAAAAGAACAATGTTGAACCTTCATTTCATTTGTGATTACAAAATAATTGCATACCCACCTTTGAAAATCCAAAAACAAAAAGCAACAACAAAAAAAGCATCAGTAGAAAGTGGTGGAATGCATGTCACTCTGTAAATTACCTAAATAATATCATCTAAGGGAATACAATGGGTGTTTTCAGGTCACTCTCCCACCCCAGCTTTACCCCATCTATAATACCTTCTTGGGCTGTTCAATTTACTGCTTTCCGATATTTAGCTGGGTCCTGAAATGGGTACTGCCAACTATTAATTTTGGATTTTGTTTCTTACTGAAAAAATCATTTTTGAAAGACTGTTTCACACATTCAATTTAATAACTTGGATTCATGTATTATGTACAGGTACTCTATCCACACAAGGCCTCAAGCAGAAACTGCATGGTACATTTTGCGGTTTAAATAAAAATTATGTATCAGATTTAGGCACTGCTCTGTTATTAAATATATGCAATGGACCACTTTGATTGTACATCAGGATCAAAAATACCCTGGGTCAGATTTGAGGGAAACTGACAGAACCCCCAAATATATGACAGGATTTCCTGAACGTGGGCCAAAATGTTTTAAGTCCCTCCCTCCAACCTAAATAAGACTCTCCCTAAAAGTCAGTGGTCTCTTTGACACTGCAGACATGACTACTATTGGACATGGAAATTGGGAAAACTCACAATCGTGTAATAGGGCAGCTCAGTAAACCATTAGAGATATCATGTATCCAAGGTGATGATGAATGTACAGTAGTAGCAACCAAGCACTGTAATCTCTACTACACTAGTTTTCTGTCCTCTGCTGAAAGCAATATTATGAATGTCTTCTTTCTCCTCCTCCTCCTCCTCTTCCTTCTCAAGTGACATAAGAGGTAACACCAAGAAAAAAAACCCCACATCAATGACTGGCAAGAAACAGGCCTAGAAATGTCTGGGTCAACATTTTCACACCTTTGCGGACAAACCAATACAGTATATGTGGCTACTACTTTATATTGATATTTCCAATGATAAAGTCAATTATTCCATTTCAGAAAAGATCTAAGACCTATTAAACGTGAAGTATCGTACCTCTCTTCAGAAACAGCTGCTGAGCCAAGGCAGACTCTAACATCAGCTCCTCCTAAGAGGGCCAGCCCTCAAATATTCATCTGCATTTTCAGCTCAAAAGAATGGCCTACGTGTTTTTTAAGACACCACAAAATCTTTTTTTTGTATAATGCCTGAATATATTTTGAAGCAGCCAATGAATCATAGACAATTATCTGTTAACGTTTCTCATGTTACAGCAAACAGTTCCCAGCACAATATTTAAATGAAGGGGGGGAAATACTTTTGCAGTAAGCAAGAGGAAATTAAGGCAGCAGACAACTCACAGACACAAACATCCACAGTACAGTATAATGTTACTTCCCAAATCCAAATCTGGTGAGAATACTGTCACCAAATAGAGTATTAGTACTCACAGTTCTAGAAAAGTCTCCAAAACATATAAAGGTGATCTCGTCTAACCCTATGTATTTTTAATGACCCTTAGAAAAGCTAAAAACCAAGCAAACACTCAATATTCTCCCCCATGCTGTAACATGTATTAGTGGCTTCTCAAACAGACATCTACAGTTAGAACAGAACCTCTGTATACTGATATTAAACATAACATGAAGATGGTATCACAGCACACTTGATTCCCCCATGCAAAGCTATTTAATGCCCTGTCAGACTTGAGAAGCACAATACATTACACCTGGACTAAGACGTCTACATCAAATATTGTCAGGCTTTAACAGATCACATGCGACTTTCATACACTACAATTTATTCCTTAAATACCTTGTGTCATCTGCTGCACAATCAGGAAATAAAGAGGTTCCTTAATGCTTGTGTCACCCTGTAAATGCAGCGAACCCTGCCTGTCACCAGCCTCCATGGAACTTACCCAATCAAAATACTCCCAAGGCTTTTAAGATTGTCTACTTTATTCCGCTTGAATACAATGGACAACCTAAAATTCACACTAAATCAGAACACATTTCTCCCACAACTGTTTATCTTCCATCTTTATTATCCTTGTTTTTCCATTACAGATTTATAATGCCAGATGCCAATCCAGGACTGGCTGGATTTTAGTAACATTATAATGCATGCAAAATTCCAGCATTGCTGATGATTTCCTGTTTTAGGAAGCCACTGTTTCTAGCTAAAGAACAACCAAGACAAAAATGTTTAGTGCTCCAATCTCTCTAAGAGCCTTTGTTCTTTCCCTTCCCACATTGCTTGGTCTCATCTCCCCCCCCCCCATTCCTTTCCTTTGGAGCCTCCAGCTTCAGTATAAAATGCAAAATGAATGCTGTAATCTAAGTACATGTTATATTTTAGAAAAGACAAGACAAACCTTATCTATTATCTAATGTTCTGAAGCACTGAGTCAGAAGGAGACATGCCTTACCAGCTGATGCAGTGTCCATCCGGTTTCCTCTTTGTACGTAATTAATGTTCGTGTAATTTATCCTACTAGTAATCCCTGGGATTTTGGCAAAAAACTTTACAATACACCTCTTCCACTGGACTGCAAAAACCTTCAATACAATGAAGTTTACTAAGCAGAATGCTTTGTATGTTTATCATATGTATACCCCCCCCCCAGGTATATAAAAATACAGGGGTCTGCCTCAAAATTCCTTTCACATACAAATAAACAAAAGATTACCTCACTGGTCCAAAAGGGAGCAGAGATACGAAATCATTATTTTTAAAAGGTTAAGATGGAAAATTATGGAAAAGCAAAATGGCCATGTAACATAAAACAATTTATTACTACTGTACATGGTCCACAATTTATGACTGCCACATAGGGCCTGTTCTTTTGTGATTCAGCAGTGAGGAAGAAATGTTTGCTTATATCCCAAACAAAGACAGTATTGCTAATCTGGGCATTAATAAACCTTCAGAAACAATAACTTTAATCTTTGTGAACCTGGATGCATATAAAATTATTTCTTTGCCTAATTTGGACCACTGTTTACTCACCAATACATGTCTGGCATTGCAATCAGAAATTGCAATTCAGCTTTTGTACATTTGTTATCGCCATGCTGTTGTGATCATAGTCAAAAAATGTGATAGCTCACCTTGTGTACCTTGACCTGTGAAATATTTTTAATACCAATGACCAGGTTATACAGCCACAGATGGATAACCCCTGCAAACCTGAAAGGGTTAAAGGCAGCCCCAATCAATAGGCCTACAAGGAAAAAGAAAAGAGTATGCCTTTACAGCCTCTTTTGCAAATGCTTTCATATGCAATCCTACAAAGCTGTTTGCTCTTGGCCTTTAACACAGACACAACACACACACACACATTTTTTTCTGAAAAGAAATCCACAAGACAACAGCTTGTAAATAAAATCGGCATGCAAAGCAGCAATTCTGAGCCACAAGCATAAGCAGAAATACAAATCGTTCATTCCATTTTTTTTTTATTTTGTTCAGCTTAAAAAGAAGAAAACACCTAGAGAGCAATGTGTACCACCTAGCAAAACAAAGGAAACATTTTTAATAAGGGTGCTAAATCTCAGCTCTTGTCCTCTCCTTTAGCAAAAAAAGGAAAAGAAAGGAAAAAAAAAGAGGAAAAAGGCATGAATCAGCCAAAGTAATCGCAGTTACTGCAAATATGTACAGAGATACACAGAAACCTTTATGACTATTACATTAGCCACATACCAGTGCTGTGTGTCTAAAGTGTGCATTCACATATTGTTAGGGGATGGTGGTATCTTTTCTGCTAGATCCTCTGCTTTTGGCTGCCATGGAGGGAGGAAGCTATCCCACTGTAGCAGCTCAATGACTGCATTGTGTTCAGGAGCTGATCTGCCTCAAACCAGTTTCAGCCGGTTCTGGTCACCCTACATAAAAAGCTATGGCAACCCTCGCTGAGTTGCCAACAAATCTTGAAAACCAGAGGGGCTCAGTTGCTTTCTTCTTTAGAGTGAAGGCAATTTCTGTGTCCCCCCCTCCCCACTTTAAAAAAAATCACAGCCCCCTTAACACAGAGCACCCCCACAACAGCATTTTCCATTCAAATCATCCCCCTCTCCTTTTTTTTCCTTTCCTCCACAACTTACCTCCCAGAACCTGGCTGAGAAGCTGTGCCTGTAGCTAACAAAAGAGAGACGGCAGTTTTAAAACAAAAATCCTCACAAGATCTCTTTTAGCTTCACAAAAGGATACTCAGCCACAGGAGGAAGAGGGGGGACTGCTAAATAGGGCTCCCTCGCCTCTTGCTCCCTAAGAGGACGAGTTCTTCCCCACTGCCCTCAGCGCCCGGCCATCTGCAAAGCAAGCCTTCCAGTTCAAGCACGAACATCTGTACAGCAGTTGAGGTGGCTGGTACACAGAATCCTTTCTTCCCACAACATTAGTTCTTATAGCTCTTTTCTACTCATCCCTGAGTGATTAGCAAAGTATATTTAAAACACCGGCCTTGTGGGCAACAATTTCCCCTAGAAGGTGGTTTATTGCAAGGCCTGCTCTCACCTATACAATCCTTCTTCCCCACACACACAAAAGGTGCCTGCCTTTTCTGCATGGACAGCATTGCCTAAATATAAAACAAAACCATCTTGTTTGAGCCTTGCCTGGATGCAAGCAGGGTGCTTCCTCTGCCGTTCATACCTGCATAGAAGAAGGAGTCCCGGCATACGCGAGCCTTTCTCGAGGCTCAAGCAATATCCAAAATGTCACCTTCTCAAATCCACAGTATGAATAAATTACTAAGAGTCCCTGACCTCTACCCTATGCCACATTTCCTGGGCACCGAAATGACTTTTCAAAGCCTAGAATTGGTCTATATATTCAACCTTGGTGGTCATGACTGCAGTGGGGAATACATCCCACAATTGTGTGTGCGTGTGCACCACATCTGTGTGTGTGTGTGTGTGTGTG